TCTGTTTATTATGCATATTATTATTGCTACACCGCCACTACTGGTTGTTGCTGTTGCGGCCTGCTCACTGTCCCCCCCATGGTTGCTGGCTGTTTGGTCGTCGTCATCATCTTTCTTCATGTTCATTGGTCTTGTTTAGTTGTTGCGTCTGTCTGTCTGGTCTGTTGTCTGGTCTGTCTGTCTGTCTCTCTCTCTCTCTTCTTTTCCCCCAACTGGGTCAGGCCAGATGGCACCCACCTTAGAGCCGAAAGGGCTCTGTCCTCGTTTCTGCCTTTTAAAGGGCAGTTTTTCTGGCCCTGTCAGCCAGGTCTGCTCATGGTGTACTTGCTGCCGGTCTCTGGTAATGTAAAGGGTCGTCTGAACCTGCTCCCTATTTGAAGTGTCCTGGGGATACCTCTTGGTTATGGAACTTTGGCCGTCTATAGAAATAACAATGTAATAGATTTTAAATTTGGCCAACGGCAGTCAGGGGTCAAGGCGTCCGACATGATTCTTCTCTTGGCCGCTTGATGAAAAGACCTGCGGAACATTGGGACACCTCCCTGGCATGGACACCTGGACCTCTGGGAGCCGAACTAGGCAACCCCGAAGTGTTTCTGCCACATTATCCTCTTTCACAGCCCTAATGTCCAGGTGGCCATGTAATGATTGACAGGTGTGAATCCAACGCAACCTTTCCTGCTTCCAGGAGGGGGCTGCAGGCGCGCTCCACCCCTCAGCGTAAGCTGGGATGATTGACAGCAGTCTCTGGCATCGCCACCACTGGCGTAACTCATCCAGCTGCTGTCGCCATGGAGGATGGCACGCCTGACACTTGCGGTTGATGTCTGGCATTGGATGGAACTCCTCTCTGCCGTCCTGCAGACGCAGGTAGATTCACAGTTTAATTTCATGTACAACATCCAACAACATTAAATAAGGGATGGCTCATCGAACGTAATAACACACACTCACTGTCGCTGGGAGCGCTGCGGCCTTCGAGGGGACGGAGCGACGGCTAGGGCTGGCCCATGGATGTTCATTGAAACTACTTCCAACAGTTCCTAGCAGCTTGCAGGGAAGGAAGGCAGAACAGCTTAAACAGACAACAGGACAGAAACAGACAGACAGGCAGACAGAAGATCAGACACACAACAGACGCAGGGTGGAGTTACAGCAGGCTCGGGAGCGTTCCCCGTTTGTCCAGCTTCCAGACTCTGGATTCGGGGGGACACGTGGCTCCAACTGCCCTGGGTGGATCCTGCACACTCGATGCAGGTCCAGACATCCGAGTTGCGCTGGAGATCCAACGGGAGGACTCTAACGTGGTGAAAGTAACCTGAGTACTTTACCTTAAGTACGATTCAGTACTTTGTACTTCCATTTTCATATATTAACACTATTGTTCATTCCCATACTACTGAACATGTACAGTGTGCATCTGCAGCATCTAGAACACTGGACGGATCGTAAAAAACAACTCATTCACATCTATGTTGGGACAAATTCGCTCATGTTGCCATAATAATCAGGCCTGTGATGGGGCGTGGGTTTTCTGGGGTTTACTCGCACCCTGATATGAACCATATTTTCAACTCAACCTGACTGGGCGTCTGTATCCCCTAAATCAATCCTACTAGAGGTATACGCTGTGCTTCTGATGTTAAGAGTCGGCCATTTTCAGTATCCCTCCTTCACTGGGCTATACATACGTCACTTCGGCTCTGATTGGTTGTTTTCATTCGGCCCGGAGGATTCGGTCAACAATCCTTAAGGACAAGGTGAGAGGGGCCAGAGAAACCTGGTTTTGTACAAGATTATCTTGTCTCAGCGTTGCGTGGCTTGTCATATAAATGTGTAAGTTACTGCTGAAAGAGTAACACATATGTGGACGCCGTCGCAGCAGGTGTTACGGTTGCTGGCGACCGGAGATAACCCTCACTCGATGATGCTTCTTGTTTTAGCTACTTCTCAATTCCTCCTTAGCCTGCAACCTCTGATCCTACGCTACTGAAACAGCTACGTTAGAGCCCGCCTCACATTTACTGTTGGTAGACCAGAACCCGGCTGAGAACAGGCATCACACCAACAAACTACACTAACACACACGACCACACGATCCATAGAGATGCGACAGTGGGAGGAGCCTCCTGAGAGATATCAGGAATACGGAAGGGGACACCGTGTACACGATGTCCTCGCCCTGGGACGAACTCCCGAGTCGTTATTCAGTTAGAACGTCACCGTCGAATCTGTCGCCAGTTGCAACCACACGAGGGCATATGCGACCTAAACAGCTCCCAGCAACAATATTATATAAATCCACAGTTTGTTTCCTCACCAAGGAGGGCGCGACCGCACTTCTCCTGCTCTGCTCAAACAATGTTTCAACGACAATTTTTCCAACCATACACATCACATCGCTCGTGTTGTAAGTTCTACAATTTATTCACCCTTAATAATGAAAATTAATGTATGTTCGAAAAAAAGCGTCAAGGTTCCACGGGGAGATCAGCGGGTCGAAGCTCTTCTTGTACTCTAGTGCTGGGTATTCTTACCTGGCAGGTGAGCACGGTCAACCTGAACCGGCGCTGTATTGACTGGGGAGAGACAGACGACAGACATAACATTAATTAAGTAAACAGTAACACATCGAATTACAGATCAGATCCAGATCAACCATGTTGCCAAAAAAATGAGCACACTCCATCAACTTAAGAAACTGCCGATGCACTCATTAACTTTGCTCATTTCTAGCAACAGAAAACACAGCCGAGCTGTAGTGTCCTAATCAGGCTCAACCTGATTAATCCTCTAAAGATGATTTACCTGATCAACTCTGATACCGCAAACCAGACACTGCGTGTGAACTATGTATAGCATATCGTGACTCGAGCGATAACTGGCCTGCAACATCGAACTCCAATGAATAAGCAGATTCTTCCCCTGCCCCATGGTTGAACTCTGTGATTTGCTGATGATGCAGCTTCAGTGCTCTCTGAATAAAAGCTACCCAATCTCAATACTGTAGTTAAATCAAGCGCAAAAGTGGTCGATATCTCCCTCGGTGAACATGCAACAAGCAAATCACTAAAATTAGCATATACTAAACGCGTCCTAACTAATCTGCCATTATAGACATTATATTATAATTATGTCGTTAAGCTCATGTAATCTATACTAGCGTCTACTGTTCGAAGTAATCTAAACATCAGCACTCCTACACGCAAATTCCAACAAATAAAGGTGAGAAGGTTACTAGTGAATGAACGCTAGTCTGAGCGAATGAGCAAGCTATGGCGCTACAGAGCTAGCAGCTTTGACATGTTCGCTGTCGCCTATCAACTGTTATATAGAAACTTGTTATGAAATGACTTGCTGTTGTTGAGTGTTCTCGGATCATAACCCATCTTATGGGCAGTCTGACGTTAAGCATAGAAACAACGTGAAAAAGCGACGTATTAGAAGGGATCATATTGATGTTATTTTTCCGCTGATAACTTCCAATTTATAGAGTACAGTCACCAGGTCCATACCTTACCCAAAAACAAAAACAACACCTCTGATAATATACAAAATGTTTTGTGCATTATTAATTTTAGTCATATGACTTACAAAGCTCATTTGTACATTTGGTTCAAGTAAATAAAAAATTTCAGTGCACAGTTCAATCCGCCAAGCGGCGATCCAAATCAATGAATACCATACTACTCATTGTATCATATCTACACCAGACTAGAACCCTGGTGATTAAAATGTTGAGTAATAATAAGCACATTTTCTTCTAAATAAGGCATGAAAATCTAACCAACCTATCTTTTTATTAACCTCGTCTGAACATGTAGCCACGTGGCAATAGCATGAGAAGAGACTGAATGAAGCCGTGAACATGTCAACTCCGATAGCAGTGGAGAAAGTAGTCGCGCGACGGAAACCTCTCTCCCTGCCCTTCTTCCGCTCCGAAAGTAACAGCCCCTTCTCCTCTGTTGCCGCCATTCAGCTCACAGGGTAGGAAGTACTCGAAGGTCACGAAGCTGCTTGTTGCGCGCTTGAACACTACGGACTCAAAACTCTTTGACTGAAAGACCCTTGCAGCCCAAAAAACGCAGACCTTATCGATGCACATGATAAATTTATCCATGTGCCTAATTGGAATAGAAACTGACTGATGTCCGCACACGAGTGTATTGTTTACGTCTGTTTCGTGTCCAGAATCAGAAAGGTTCTGTGATAAACACGCTATGACATGTCATGGGTAAACAGAACAGTGCTGTAACAACCGGGTCGCTATTCTATCGAGCGCAGGCTCCATATATAAGACTTCTCGTGAAATGCTGGTGCTGTAGCAGCTAGTGTACGCGCTCAGTCGGTGACCACCACGCAATAGAAGTGTTTGGACTCGAGCGCGATCAGAAATACGACAACAAGTTTACGGTATGTCAATCTGGCCCTGGTAAGAGTAGTTGTCGGTGGATGAACGCCGTAGATTATTGCAATATAAGTGGACCGCATATCGAAAGATTGAAACTCAGAGTCGATCGTGTGTGTGAGAAGACTGTGGTAATTCCCGACCTTGCAATTCAAGTGTTGGAGATTTGGCAGTGTGTACGGTGGATGTTGAAGCGATGGAACACTGGTCTGACGTCATGCCAGGTACAGATGAATACTGCCACATATGAAATAGTGTTGTTATTGTGCTTATCTGCTGTGTGTCAAGGGCGTGAAGAAGCCCGCCCAGTATGGCACAGCATCCTCCGTTATTCGTAAATGGTCGTGAGGCTGCAGTCTGTAATGACAACGCGCATAAATGAAGATGAGCAGATGTCATATGTAAAAGGTGACTGGCGATAATGTGAGATAATCTAGTTGAATCCTGTCCTCACAAAGATAGCGAGGTCGTCATGGATGATTCATCAGTGTTAGTTGCGTAGAGCCCAACATTAGATGATGACTAGTTATAGAAAGAGGAGACAGTGATGTGGCTGATGGAGGCTGGAGTGATAGGGATGAATGGATGTCGCGTAATTGATGATATATAATCCCTGTGATAGTGTCGTGTGACGGTGGTGTCTTCTATGGAGTGCGTGGGGCAGCATGTGGGATAATTGAATGTTGTTTCGCTTGAACATACATCTGCACTGAGTGTATTACGTTTAGTAAGGTCAGAATCATGTGCTATAAGCTGGCTGTTTTCTGATGATAAAGAGGCCAATGCTGCCCGCGAACAGTGAGGAAAGATGCCTACCTCTGCAGCGATACGCTCAGATACCGCATAATTTTCGCGGAATACCCCCAAGATCAACACCGGCGTACCTATGCTGTTCGCACGAATGTGAGTGCTGTGTCTGGTACATGGAAAGGTGACCTTCGGACTTAACTATGCGCGAAGCACGAGCTAGTGAATCTGGTGTTGTGCCAGTTGGGAATGGTGCATGGGCTCAGAGCGTGATACTGAGCATCACGAAAAGCACAAGCATATGAAATAAATCATGAATTATTCTCTTTGCTTGACCAAGAACGGGTGAATCTGCGACCCTCTAGAGAGAGAGACGACCCGGTCTGCGGCTGTGAAACCGTGGGTTACAGTGAAGGTAAATGGCTGGTGTGGTGCGATAAAAAATGGATTCTGCATTCCCGTACACGTTGACTCATAGCCCCATAAGGAGTAAACCAGGTGCTGTGGAATTGAAGCTCTTATAACACTTATACGTTCAAAAGCCATACAGCCCAGCTGGCGCCCACAGAATTCACAGGCAGATGGTATGGAATGTGTAGTGACGTGAGCAGGACTTTGATTGATGCGAAAAGCGGATGTTTTTATCAGGAGAGTTAATCCAGCTGGACGTGTTAACTGGTTAGTATGTTATGATATATGAGATAGGAGTCGCCGTATATATTAAAATAGCATAAGTAATGAGCTTCTTATTCAATCTGTGACCACGGTCATAATAACCAGCACGAGTCACTATCAGTGAGTAAAAAGAATGTGTACTCGGACGAATTGTGCCGGCAGGTCGCGCGAGAATTACGACGCAGGTGGAGCTTGCTGGAGGCGCATAAAAAGGACGCTACAGTGAAACGGTGAATCGACAGTGTCCAAGTTGACGGCCTGTTCAACTGGTTAGGCCTATTTAAACTCGTATGTAAAGGCAGCGTAGTCTGTTAATGAGGAGCGAAGATGCCTATCAAGATACAGCGTACCCTATGTCTCTAAGGGTTAATTAAGTCTCGAATAGGGCGTACGCATTAGCCAATGTTCGAACATGACATCTCCACAGAGCGCCAATACCAGTATAGCTAAAATCTAACAAAATATCAATTGGAGAGTCACAGAATCTGTGCCCGACGACCAGCTGCGTGACGATTACCCGCGAGTGAAACTAATAGACAAGCAGATGGCCGCCGGCGAATAGAGAAAGCTGCAGCTTGTAGAGCGAAATGGGGGCGCGCCGAATGACGAAGCAGAACACTTAGTTCCTGGCGTGTCGGTCCGCAAGAGGCCGGAGATTGGAACCACGCGTAAAAGGGTTAGCTAACCCTAACCCATATTCTGGGGCATTTAAATGGGTCTTCCAGTGCTATATAGGGGGGTTCTAGGTGTCCATTAGGAGGTGTCAGTTTCTCTCAGGGAGGTTCCTGATGGTATCAGGTATCAGGTATCCCAAGAAGACACTTCAGAAGGCTTTGATGTTGTTCCAGACATCTTTGACACAGTTTTCCAGGTCTTCAGGGGAATTGTCTTTATTTGTGTGGAGTTCCTTTGGGACATACCACATAATCTCAAAAGGGTTTCAGGTCTAACTTAGTAGTCTTTGAAGGCATCCGGGTCATTTAAATGGGTTTACTGTTGTCTTTCAGGGATATTGAGAGGTAGAAATTCTAGGGCCATATGAGGAGGCTCTAGATTGGATGTGTCAGTAGCTGTCTGAGCTGTGGGGGAGCTCCTTGAGGATGTGTTACTGTTTGTGTTTATAAGTCCCAGGATCTGTGAAGACTCTAAGGACTTTCAGGGTAGTCCCAGAGTTCTTTGAAGCAGCTTCCCAGGTCCCATCCCAGGGGATGGAGGTTTTTAGGATGGTCTGGTGCTACAAATGGATGTTCTACAAGTCCTATAGGAGGACTGAAGGATAGGAAAGTTCTTTGAGGAGGTTCCGAGGGTACCAGGGTTCCTTTGGATCATGCAGTCTTGGTGGAGGTCTGAGTGTTGTTATATTGACATGTTGAGTTACTTTTATAACATGTTGGATGTTTTTTGTTCAGGAGGCGGGAGAGACGGCATTACATTATTGTGTTCGGACAGCTGATCACTCCTCTCTCCACCTGGTCGACTTCCTGGTCCAGAACAGGTATGAAACCGTGTGTGTGGATGTGTTTAAAATAATTTTTAGATATCTATAACACCAAGGGCTGATTTTATCACTGATGATGTCTTTGACATCTGCCCTCAGGGTCCCAGATTATGGCTGCACTGTTTTCACGTGTTAATGTGTGTGTCTGTCTGCAGTGGTAACCTGGACGGACAGACGGATGGAGGGAACACAGCTCTGCATTACTGCTGCCTGTACAACAAACCACAGTGTGTGAAACTGCTACTGAGAGGAAAACCTGACATCCACATCAGTAAGAACACCATCAGTAGGACAGGATGCAGACAGGTCCATAAAGGAGCAGTGCTACTTTTATGTAAACCGGGGGTGTTCAAACCTTTTCCCTTGGAGGACCAAAACTGAAACTCAACGGTGGGCCAAGAGCCAAAAGCAGACACCTATTGTAAGGATTAGAAGCAAACTGGTTCTAGGATCCCAAGTTCCCTTAACTGACGCAGTGTCACTCTTACAGTTGTATATAAAACTAATTAATAATTAAGGATCCTACAGCTTTTTTACCTGATAAATAAATAAAACACCATGAACTGTGATCTGTTTTCTAATTTTTAAATTCATTTTTAAGAGTTGTTAGCCTAGCTTAGCACAAAAACTGGAAGCAGGGGGAAACTGTTAACCTAGTTCTATCATTAAGCATCTGCTTGTTTCCTGTATCTTCTCAGCCAATCAGAGTGGAGAGACGGCACTGGACATTGCCCGCAGACTGAAAAACTCCCAGTGTGAAGAACCGGTAGGAAGCATATCAATATCTGGTTTACTATTGTCCATTCTGATTGGCTGGCAGGTGACAATAACCTTTAGTAACCAAAACAGTATAAAGGCTCCGACACACTTTCAGACGTGGTTCCATGCAACTGCATTGGTCTGATCCAAACTCCACTCCAGTTGGTGGTGGTAATGCACAATAACGTTGTTTGCCAACCAACAGAACAGTCAGGAAGAAGAAAGAAGCTGTGTAGTTATCTTTTATTGATCGTTCTCTGAGCCATCTTAAGTACTGGGAGCAGTGGGCAGCCACAGTGCGGACCAACTCCAGAGCTGAGCCAGAGCCTTGGTCAAGGGCACTGACTGGAGGAAT